TCCTTACAGAGTTAACTTACGACTTGGACAAATCCAACACATAAACATTCAACATTTTAGAGTCTACTCACTTGGGACTTGTCAACACTGTGAGGCTAGACTTCACATACCATGGAAGCAACTCACACACGATTTAGGGTTCATGGCTATGAACTAGACTCATTATCTACTATTCATGCTTTGTCTGATGTTTCACGTTGAACTCATCTTCTCTTTGTAACATTTCCTCCTAGATTTTTTTTTTTACTTTTGTGGAATTGGAAACAAATCGATTTTTATCTTAAGGGTAAGTATTTTTGAGCCAGTTAGTTGTCTTGCTCTATGATTTAGTCATTATTGGGATCTTTATCTCAACATGAAGAAAGAGCAAATGAAAAATCTCCAGAAATGTTGAAAATATGGACAAAAACATGAACACAATAGCTCACGTGTGGCCATCGATAGCTTAAAGTTTTTCTGGAGCTGCAAGGCTTGCAACTTCGGATCATCGATGGGTTTGCAGGGATCCCATGACCCAGTGAGGTGGCCTCCATGTACGAGAATGTGAAGCATCTTGTCTTTTTAGGAAAACAAGACACGTGAGAGTATAAACATGGTTTTTTATCCTGATTTTGCGTCCACTTGACTTTAGTCTGTTGACCCTAGTAAAGATTGGTAACGTTGGCAAGCTGGTCGCGGACAAGTCTATATCACAGACGAGATATGTAAATACAAAAAAAAAAGCAAATATTGGCATTTCCTAGAGTTGAACTTAGGATATGAACATTAAAAATCCACTCATTTACCACTAGACCAATACAATTTATTACTATTTACTTATATATATCATCGTGGAAGAAGAAGGATTTTGTCAATATTTTTAAAAAGTTAAGAAAAGGAAATTACCTTTTTTTCGTTATCAACAACAAATCTCCATTCATTGCTTACGAACGACTTCTACGAACCACACAAAATATAGATGTGCTTAACGAATAATTTGGAAGAACTAGGAAAAGAAGAAGAAGTCTCGCGATGCTAAGGAAGAAGATTCACATCCAAAGCAAAAAATATTAAAAAAGAAAATAAAAAGATGTTAAAAGATTTAGAGAATAATCATTAATTGTTTTTTCCTAGATTTCCAGATTTTTGTTCACAAAACGTGGTTCTACCAAGTTTATCCAATAGTTGAAGCAGTAGATACGTTATTCCCATGGGTTCAGATAGAAGATATAATTTAATAATGTATGTTCTGCCACAGTAGATGCATGATTATTTCCTAGGTGCTATGTTCTACTAAAACTCCAGAACAGAGACGGAAAGGCGGATTTCCTATTCTGGCTTCGTAGATGTAAATATTTTTGGTGTATTACGCATTCTATGCCCTTTAGATCAATGTTGTTCGTAGATTATAAACTCTAAACCACCGTAGTTGGTAGATTTGATTTACTAACACATTTATCCCATTTTTGAACTTACTATTCCAAATATTTTTTAAATCCAAAAATATATTTCATATATGCACATGCTTATCTAATTCATGTTTTATATTTTTCTTAATTTTTCGGCTTGTAAATTTATTGATATTAATTTTTATATATAAAAAAGATAGTGAAAGTCCAAAAGTGACAAAATTTGATTTTGTTCTAAGCGATAATATTTGAGTTTTTTGTCCCTTACTAGCAAAGTTTCCTAAAAATATTCACATGAATGATAATTTTCAATCATTCATATGTCATTTTTATTAATGACATTAATTGGTAATACATATTGCACACGATAAAAAAGCAAAAACAATTACATTAATTGATAATATATGAATATGGTCTATAAAAAAATGAGCTTGATTATCCTTTTGTAAAACAAAGCAGTAATATAATTATATTATTAAAATATAAAATTAAACCTGCTACTATATTCCAAAAAAAAACTAAATCCATTTTCAAAATTGCATTTGTATACCAATCATTCATATTGATAGCATATTATAAACAATGAGACAAAATTCTGAATTAACAAATCATAGATTTTAGAGATCAAAAATTTAATTGAAAATATTAGTTAAATTAATATCACAATTTCAATAAAAATAATTGGTGATTTTAATATAATGACATATTTAATTAGATACTTGAAAGATTTATTTTAGTAAAATGAAATATACATTTATATTTCAAATAATTACAAAATTAATTAAATATTTAAAAGGTTTGTTTAAGTAAAAAACGAAATATACATTTATATTTCAAAAAACATGAAAGTAATTACATACTTTAAAATGTTTGTTTTAATGTAAAAATGAAATATATACTATATTATAGAAAAGATATGAAAATATTTTGTTTAGATGTAATTCAGAGAAAATATAGGAAGATTTATTTTATTTTTCTTAGAAAAACTAAAATATTTTAAATATATATTCAAAAATTCATTTAAGTATTTTTTTAAGAAATAGTCCATTTTAAAAAAAAACACAAGAATCATGGTTGTGATTTCAGTTTTAATAAAGATGATGTAGTTTCATTTAAGTAAGTTAAATATTTTAAATATATATTCAAAAATTCATTTAAGTAAGTTTTTAAGAAATAGTCCATTTAAAAAAAAAAACACACAAGAATCATGGTTGTGATTTCAGTTTTAATAAAGATGATGTAGTTTCTTTAGAAAAATGAATTTAAATAAAATCATAATAATATTTAAAAAGGTAAAATTCCTTAAAATACTTGGACTAGTTTTCATTTGCTAATAAAATACACGAACTATTTTGGATCCTCATTCAATATACGAACTAATTTTGTTATCTAATAAATACACAAACTTTTGAAATTTGTAGATTATACACCTCATTTTAGACGGTGCTAATTATATTTAACGGAAATGACGATGGCATTACTGTTTAATTAAAAATGTGTGTAAATTGTGAAAAATAATTCCTTAAAATACACGAACTAGTTTTCATTTGCTAATAAAATACACGAACTATTTTGGATCTCTGTTTAATACACGAACTAATATTTTTTCTACTAAATATATAAACTTTTAAAATTTGTAGTATACAGATCGATTTAAACGACGTCAACTATGTTTAATATGATTTAGGCGATGTCAACTATGTTTAACAAAAGTGAAGACACTGTTTGTGTTTAACTGAGGGATCCTTTAATTAAATATGTGGTTAAGCTGTGAAGAAAAAAAAGTTTCTTAATAATCATACCGATAGATTATATTGTTAACTTTCTTCTCCATTACGCTTCCATGGTGTAAATTCTTTTTGATAAAATTCAAATTTATTGAAAAATAAGAATAAAAAATAAGAAGAAGAAAAATACATAACACTAAACTAATTCCAAAATCAGAAACTCTTTTAAAGTTACCTAATTTTCTTCATTGTTTGCATGACATGGAAATCAACTCCATTTCGAAGCGATATAAAGAGAAAACAAAGCGAAAAAGAAGAAGAAAATGAACTGAATTTGGAGAATAAAATAGGTTAGAACAAATTGTGGTGGTAAATTCAAATTGAAACTAACTTGAATTAGGACTTAGTCGATTCGAGAAGTTTTGGAGGGTGAGCGTGCTTCTCACAGTTTAACCACGTGTTTAATTAAAACTAACTTCATCTTTTGTTAAACATAGTCGACGTCGTCTAAATTAATGTGTACAATCTTCAAAATTCAAAAGTTTGTATATTTAATTAAAAACAAAAATTTGTTTGTGTATTAAACGGAAATCCAAAATAGTTTGTGTATTTTATTAACAAATGAAAATTAGTACGTGTATTTTTAATGAATTTTTTTTCATAATTTAAACATGTGTTTAATTAAACAGTAACGTCGATCACTTCCGTTAAATATAGTTAACGTCGTCTAATATAATATATAAAATCTGTGAATTTCAAAAGTTTGTGAATTTAATAGATAATGAAAATTAGTTTATGTATTAAATTGATATTCAAAATAGTTTATGTATTTTATTAGCAAATGAAAATTGATTAGTGTATTTTTAAGGAATTTTTGGAAACTCTGTAGAAAACAAACTATACACGCAAACAGTCCGATCTGAATTTAGAGACGTATTGGAAAAACAGTGGTATACATAAAATGATTTTATCATTTGAATTTTGGTTTTTTTGAAATTTGAGACGACGACATCACTAAATAATCTGATGTTGTTGTTTGTCACTTTACCAATCGCTCATAGAGTTGTTTGTCTTCTTCATCTTCTCCCTAACCCTTAGTACCACAATTTTCACATCGAGATAATGGCGGAGCGAACCAGCACCGATCCAACATCTTCCGTGTCTTCTCCTAATCCTCCCGTAACTCTCTCATTTGCACGTAATCGCTTTAATTTTTCGATTCATGGATCCGTAGTCTATGTTTTGTGCTCTAGTCTGAGATTTTTGGATATAAATAATTTACCTTGAGATTGGAATTAACTTTGCAATCTCGAATATAGATCAGTGTTTTGTCTACAAATCATTTCCCACTTGCAAAGCTCTATTTGCTCATTTGGTTGCTGATCTTGTCTCTTTAGATTTGGAGTCAGATTTTTGTCGCATTAGTTCTAATGTACAACAATCTTAGAGCAGCTTTGATTAACTGAAATTTGATGTTGAACTTTGGTTGTTCTTTTTTTTTTTCTGTTGCAGAAGAAGAAAGAAAATACCAATCCTGTTGATTCCAGGCTCACGGTATGTATTACTCCTGTTGCTTCCCTATTAGTAACTGCTACTTCAAAATCTTCAGCGGTTTTCTGAAGGAAAATACAGAACCAACTTGAGTACTGATCTCAGAACCAGTTGGAAAATACAGAACCAACTTGAGTACTGATCTCAGAACCAGTTCTTCCTTTTAATATTATGACTGAATAAATGGTTTGCAAATAATAATTTTTTAAAATATTTTATCTAAAAATAGAAAATTTTATATTTTCCTTGCTTTTAGTTTTAAGTTGATTAATTTTTTAAGTATAAACTAGTCATTTGTACTGTTTGTTTAGTTTAATTTTCTAATCTGATTGTATTTAAATTAATTCAAATTAGTTTAACTGTATAGAACAATGAGAAAGCAAGATAGAGTACTTGGTTAGCCAATCCTTCAAGCGGTAGTCTCGTCAGTTATCTCAGAACCAGCATAGAAATGAAATCATAAATCCAGAATAATGTATTGTACCACCACATCATCAATCTATCTGATGAACTCATCAACAACATATACATGTCTTTTGAAACGGGTTTTTTTTTTTTGTTTTCTTTTTAAAAAAAGTAATACTGCACTTAACAAATTTCATAGGTTTTTCAGCATCCTTAACCAAAAAGGAACAGGACCTTAGATTTTCAAGTGGAACCAGCCGGTGGTTTCGATTCGTCGCCTGATTTGGAGGCCGCAGGAGGAGGAGTGCCTTCTACTCCGATCTCGGCTCTTAGATCATTGATGCTTTGCTCAAGCTCATTGATTCTGCCTCCCATGTCATCGAGTGAACCATCCATCAAAGTCACGGAAATTAAGATTAATGTAAAAAAAGACAAATACTGGTAAGTATTATATAGGGGGATATAGAGAGCAGAACAACAATAGGAGCAATTCAACATGAAAACAAATCATAGAAAGATGTGGGTACTATCTATGGTATAGACGTTTAGAATCTCAAGAAATACTTTAGTCACCTACTCTGCCATTGAGATAATTGTTGATTACTACTAGTACTAAACTTATACTCAAGGATCATCATCCAAGCAAAAATAAAGACTGATAAAAAAAGGATATTCTTTGTGATGATGGAGTCGGACATTGTCTGGAACCTGGTTTGCTGAAACATACAATGAAACCAATCAAAATCGACATATTTAAGCTGTAAGTCCGAATAATACAAGTTCCCCCACCATCTGCTGCAGAAGATTTTGGACCTGCGGATAAGAATTCCAAAGGGAGACTCAGTAACAAATGATAATTCTGAGCTTGAAGATAGAACATGTCACTCACAAAAGCAGTCATATCAGCAGTGCTCTGCTTAGAAGAATCCTCAGAATCATGCCCATCCTGCAGACACCCATCAAAGAACAAATCTGTAAGTGTTTAATTAATCCAGAAAGAAAGAGGATAAAGTTTATCATGATGAAGAAACCGTTCAAGGTAACAAAAATAAAACCGTTGGACTGTATGTATCAATAAAACCTAATAATCCGTAGATATGAGAGGTTTTTTTTTTGCGAAATTCAGATCTGAAGAACACGGTCCTTGGGTTCATGAATAAGAATTCGAATTCAAATCAAGCAAATCGCATCGTACATACCATTTTAGGGTTCTTTTCGGAGACTATGGAGAAGTTGGTTTCAGCGAGAAGCGATGAGGAGACGAGCGATGTGTGTTTGTTTGAATAAACTTGGAAATAGAAACAAACCTCCTTTTTTTCAAAAAAAAAAAGAAAAAGAAACAAACCTGCTGTGATGATAATGTCCAAAGTGCCCCTCTTCTTAACTTTTGCGTGTCGTGTATTCAAATTTCAAATTTATATCCAACGTTTTGGTATTGAGATTCCGAATTTGGTTAATTAAAGAACCGGCGTTTGATCGGATCTTAACCGAGCAACATAAGGGCATCCTCAAAGGGAGAGCATTAAGGTGTGTGCTCAGAGTGAAAATAGTAGTAAAATAATATATTTAGGTTAGGAATAAGGGACATCCTCAAAGAGAGATCACTTGTTAAGGGTGTGCTTAACAAAAAAAAATTAATTAAAATCCATGTGGTAACTTTTTATTCTGATCATAAACGGAGCCAAGCCGGAAGCCAAGGATTTGAAATGGGATCCGATCCGTGTCTCTACCCGCTTCTATACAAATTCAATGCCGGATTTCCCACCGAGTTACGCATCGAAGCGTTTTCGCCAGAGTATCTTTTTCCGGATCGGGCCAATTTCCGACTCGAGATCCGAGAAATCCCACAGATTGTGGGTACGGAGAGGTCTTCGCGACGGTGCCATTGCCCGTAGTGGAGACGATTCAGATCAATTGGGGAAGCGCGAGGGAGAAGAAGGTGAACGAATAATTTTGGTTTAATGATTTTCTTCCAATCACCAACTGCCACGTCGCCCAGGAACAAGGCTTAGAACTGATCTTGTTCAAGCACTATTTAACTGATCTTAGCCCAATTTTGAATCTTTTCCAATTAAAATAAGCCCAAGCACACTCTAAGTGCTCCCCCTTTGAACATGGCCTAAGATCAGTAGGTTCGATGGTTTTGGTTCCATACAAAATCTTATACCAGATGAGTTTGATACAAGTTTTCATTTCATTCAGGAATCATTGGAACACAAACTAACCATAATCATGATGCTAGAATCTTCAGTCAGAAACCTAGATTGTAAATGTAAATGTATTAGGAGGAGTCACCTTCAGGATATCAGACTGCACGCATAATAAGACCAACAGAAAACGTGGGATATCAAAATGTTACTACTTGCTAATATGAGAAATGAGATGGAGAGAAACAAAACTTGCAAATGTGATAAAAACCACCTCAAACCAAAATGTTCTAGCTTTTGAAGCAGGGGAGAAAGAATAGAAGAAGATCCATAAGCCATTCACAAAATACTATTGGATTAAAGAGGAGGATTATAATAGGAATGAAAGAAACTGAAAGATTGTTATTACAATCATGTGAATACGTATGTTACAGAATAAGTGGGAGAGACGACTTCTTTAGAAAACTTTATTGAGATGAGACGCTCTTGATCATGGCTTGTGCATTAAGCCCTGTTAGGTTCTTCTCACAAAACCTCTGCCAAGCTCCTTGTTTGTTGTTTCCTTCTTCACCTTCTTCTTCTTCCCATGTGAATTTCTCGTAAATAGAGTTCACCATACTCCTTGCAGCTTCCCTTGCCTCTGGTAACTTATCACTCAACAAATCCGCAGCTATTTGCGCAATCATAACCATCCCGAACTCTTCCATTTCATTTATCTCCTAATACACATACAACAATTCAAGAACATGATGATAACATAACAGCTGCTCTGACCATTGGAGAATTAGACATACCATTTTAGAAACACAGTTGGAAGTAGACACGGCAGCTTTGGCCCTAACCCGAGGGTTACTGTGTCGGACGTAGGTCTTGAGCTTACGCAGAAGCGGCAAAGAAGCCACTGAGTTAACCATCGTGTTTAGCGTTTTGTCAGCTTCTTCACAAACAAACTTCTTGTCTTGTGAAGCTTTCATTAGCAGCTGTAATAACTGTTTCATCAAAACAACACTTTGAGTTATTAGCTTTTAACCAAATCAGAATACTTGAAACAAATCTATTTTACCAGATCGTCCATAGTTTTCAAATGAGTTAACTTTTCTCCAAAGGCTTTGAAGATATCTGAACAAGCCATAATCGAAGTCTTGCACAAAGCGCTTCTAGGGTTCTTCATCGCTTTCACCAGCACAACCATAAGCTTTTCTCTGCACAGTTTCAAATCAACAAGATTAGAATCTAATCTAAACAGTCAAAGATGATGAAAGAAAGAAAGGGAACATACATAATGGGTAGGAACAGAGAAGAGTGATAAACAGCAAATCTTCTTGTGTTGTTGAGTGATTCACATACTTTGACCCAATCCTTTGATGCTAATTCCTCCAGTAATCTCTTCATAAGATTAACAACAAAAGATTTAATCTATACATGATGACCATCCAAACAAAATTACTCTAGATTTCAGGTAAGATCTGACCTGAACAGAGGATTCTGGATCTGGAAACGGTTTGAGATTTTCGGAAGAGATGTAGTCGATGGTTGATTCAGGCGGAGGTACGAGGAGGTTGTTTTCGTCGTTCAGACATATCTCTGGGTTCTTTGAGAGTTTTGGAAGCTTCTTAGGTCGTTCTTGCGAGATTGGAAGAGCGTTTTCGATGTTCCTAAGGGCCATTGATGGAAATTTTGAGATAAGAGTAAAGATAGAGAGAGATAGTGATTTGAAAATTGTTATTGGGGAATCTATGGTGGGGTTTAGGGATAGATATAAAGATAAAATAGCCGTTGGGGAAGTTTGGCTCCAACGGTCACATTCGTGGGTTCGGTTATGACTTATGAACGGACAAAAATCTATTATGAGACAAAACACCAAAAACTAATCTACAACATCCAAAAAAAATCTATCATGGACCAAATGGTGTAAAATGACCATTTTACCATTAATGGAGTTCAGTGTGAACCATTAGATCAGATAAGTCGAGATGTAATCTGAGCCGTCGGATGATAAGAGAAAACTGGGTACAACTAGTATAACTCGTATAACTAAACATGTTAAAAATTGATATAACTAGTATAACTAATATATAAATATTATAATTCATGTACAATATGCAACTACTATAACTGTAACGACTAATAATCATGTTTTACATATGAAATAAACAAATATATATCCTAATTGGTATATGATGACAAAATTTCATCTATTTTATTTGAAGTTTTTAATTTTTTGGTTAAATTATTACATTACACTCTTAATTTTACATCATATATATATATATTATATTATATTTAAGGTTTGTTAAGTAAATTAGCTATATTATTATGAAAATTGTGGTACAACTTCTAAAATTAAACATATAAACAATTGATATAATTGTTATAATTTTATTATATATTAGACGAGTATTATTGTTACAACAGGTACAACTTGGACATTTAAAAAATTGGCAAACCAATTTAGTATTCCATATGAGAACACTATCAGACATCCAAAGTGGTATGTTTTTTTCTCCTAATATATTTGAAGTTTTGAAAAAAAAATTGAAAGTCATTACACAACTCCATAAGTTTATATGATATACCTTATACTTTTAAGGTTTGTTAACTTCTTTGTCCACATATTTTTGGGAAAACATATATGAAATGCATTTTAACAAAATTGATGATCTCATTGTATTGGGCGAAGACATATATACACATAAAAATGTGGTACAACTAAGGTAAGTTTAAATTTCATGTGGTACAACTAGTTTTTTTTTATTTCACTGTCAAAGTACAACTATGTACAAACCGGTATAACTCAAAAACTAGTACAACTATTTACAAACTGGTACAACTCAAAAACTAGTACAACTATGTACAAACCGATACAACTCAAAAACTCTTACAACTATTATATTGTTACATTAGTTTTACATTACATACCTTATATTTACAGGCTTGTTAATTAGATTAGCTATATTTTTTTTTTTTTTTTTTTTTTTGTAATTATAACACAATCATATAAGTTTGCATAATCTACCTTATACTTTTAAGGTTTGTCAACTTCTTTGTCCACATAACTTTTGGAAAACATACATGAAATGTATTTTAATAAAACTGGTGATTTCATTGTATTAGGGCATATGCATGTACACATAAAGAAGTGGTACAACTGAAGTAAGTTTAAATTTTATGTGGTACAACTAGTTTTTTTATTTCACTGCCGAAATACAACTATGTACAAATCGGTATAACTCAAAAACTAGTACAATTACGTACAAACTAGTAAAACTATAATATTAGTGAAACTATGTTATTTCTTTTGGTATTGTGCATCATATTTTAACGTGTATCATGTTTTAATCATTATAGTTGAATATTAAGATGAGTAGTTTTACTAGCTGTCTCCTCCTCATTTCCAACTGCCCCCTCATTTTTAACTGCATCTTTCTCAAGCTTTTTCTTGCACTTACAATCCTCCTTAGTTGATTCCTCAACCGATATGGCATCACTCATGTCCTATATCATCTACAACAAAACATAGTAACCAGGCAAATCATGTAAACATAAATAAGTGGTATCACTAAGGTAACTGTATAATTATATGATACAATACAATTAGTACAATTAGTGTCTTCTTCGACTTCGAGATTAAAGATGATTTAAAAAACAGTACAATTAGTACTAGTAGTATAACTAGTCAAACAAATAACTATTTAGATCAAATAATATAAAAAATATCCAACAAAACTCCAACAAGTCTCAAATATTAAGTATAGTATAATGAGTTAGTCCAAAAAAGATTACATTCAAAGATAACAAGACAACTGATCACATTACAAATCTTGAATGATCATTAATCAAACATAGATTTAGCAGAAAATGGATATGCTTATAAGTTGTATGAATAAAGTTGAAAAGTTGTATTTATTATACACGTTCTAATTATATCAGTTATATTAATCATATGTGTTATAGTTGTATCGATCGTACTAATTATAATTATACTAGTGGTACTAGTTATGCTAGTTATACGCGCTCTAATTGTACCAGTTATACTCGTTTGAGTTATGCTAGTTGTACCAGTAGTATTCTATGTTCTTCGTTATCGTAAATATATTTTTAAAAAATTATGATGTAAGAGTATTGGTAGCCCCTAAAACTAGACATATAAAGAATTGATATAATTTTTTGTTGTATATTAGAAGAGTATTACTGGTAAAACTAATATAACTTTGACATTTTAAAAATCGACAAAACCAATTCGGTATTCCATATGAGAAAACAATCAAATATACCAATTGATAGTTTCAAAAGCTATAAAAACAAGTCTAACATCAAAAGAAACATATGTTTAAATACCAAAATGAACATAAATTATATAAAGAACTTAAGTTTTCAAAAGTATCTCCAAAAGCTATTAATTTTGCAGGAAGGGAGAGCTTAGTTGTTACTGATGCTCTCTTCTTATTCTTCTTTCCGTTGACTCATTTTTCTAAAACTATGGTTAGACTTTTCTAGTTCCGTATCAATTTGTTTGACCTTGAGAACAAAAAAATGAAACTGACTTTTTTTCGAAAATAGTACAACTAGTATAACTAGTACAACTTGTAACAAATCATTAATCCAAAACAAATATTATTAAAAACATACACTTCATGTATTTGACACATGCATGAGAGGGAAGATTAGACTAACATGTTTTATTAGTTTTACATCGAACTCTTTTCTATTATCTTCATACATTGAAAACAAAATAAAGATCACTATATTAATTGCAAAGTTATATTAGTACTAGTTATACTCAATCTATTTGTACTAGTTATACACGTTGTAGTTGTACTAGTTGTACTAATTAGAGTTGTACCAGTTGTACTAGTAATACTCTGCGTTTTTTTTTTTTGATTCTAGTACGTAAATGATGAAATTTAATTTTGGGTAAGATATAATTGATTAAATATGAATATGGGTAGTTCAATTTGGGATAAAGATAAAAAAATTGGTGGATGGTTGAAGAAATTTTTTGATTTTGTTTGAAAGTGAAAAAACTATTGGAAGAGAAGAAAGGAGGAGGAAGAAGAAGATTTAGGATTAGTTGGGTTGGATTTTGGATCTAAATCTGGGTCGGATTCTGGGTAGGATAGTAAGGGTATGGATTCGTAAATATATTGAAGTCTTTAGGTTTTTTAGTTATTTTAGCTAGATTTCTATTTAAAATTAAATATAGAATAAAATAAAAAAAGCATGGGTCTATTTGAGATTTTTTTCTTCCCCTTTGGTCTATTCTAGCATTTGATTCCTTATGAACTTGATTCGGCTATTCTAGATGGTATTCTCCGGTTCGCTATATCTTAATGTGGAAAACGACGGCGTTTGAAACATACGTCGTTTAAAATCTTAACTTCAATACACATGACGACTTTTGGTGACACAGCAATTTTTTTTTCATCTGAAATATATTCATTCACAGTAAAATACGTAGAGTTTTTTTTTTCTTGCTAAAACATCATCTTTAACTATTACATTAAAATGTAAAATTATTTATTAGTTTAAATATTGCACTTTAATGTTTTGTTTCAATAAGTTGATGTATGTCGTAATGAGACCAGACCACCACAATATTCAAAACCATATTACGTAAAAATACGTAGAGTTTGTTACAAAAACCAGCAAATATCATAAAATCTATAGAAACTAAAATCCAAAAGAAACCTCGCTTGACCCACTCCAAAACAACTTACAGACGCAAAACAATTTCGGCTAAGAATCTATCACCCAAAGAATTAAATTAATTAAAAATATATGGAATTGAAAAGATACATGTAACCATACTAATATCAGTTTCATATTATAAAACTTCATGTTCATATACATTTAGATATCATATAGAAATAAACATGTAACTTAATCACTTATTTAAGTTTTAAATACTCACTACACATACTAATTAGAATATTGGAATCAGTTTTTTCAGATTTTTTTTTCATTTTTGAATTGTTCATAAAAGTCAGTTAATAAAGTATACACGATCTGGTAAATTAGATTTCTTCTGTGTTCTCTCTCTTTAACCTTTTACAGAGAGAATAGGAGATCAAAATTTCCGTTTGATTTCTGTGTTTTAAATCATATCCTTTTGCTTAGATCTTCAATTAATGGATTAAATCTCACTTTTCGCCTTGATGGATTTGTTTTCGCTTTGTGATTTTGGTGTGTTATATCAAACTCTCAAGTTTCTACTCTCTTCTAGCAATCATTATATCTCATATGTTTACCAAAATCTTAGTTTTTATTGCTGGTTATGTTTGATCTTAAATCTTTAATCTTAGAGGAAATCAATTTTTGTTCTTAAATGTTTGAACAAAATATTTTTGAAGATGATTGGTCCAGTTTAAGAAGAGTTGAAGTTTGTTTCCAGCAAATGTTTCGACGTTGACTGATTTTGAACCGTTGAAGTTTCTTGGTGATTTCACATCTAACGTAGATGATGATTTATTTTGGAGATAGAGGAGATTAAGGGAGTGATCAAGCAAAGGGAATCAAAATCTGCATTGATTTTGTGTATAGAAGCGGTTGGGCCACCGGAGAAACAACTCATTCCCGTATGCAATACATAGCACCTACCTTAGCTTGATAGTCATGGTTTGATAGTGTGTTTTTGTGCATTTTTATCGCTATAGAGAATAGGCATTG